ATGTTGGGTTTTCCAAAATAAAAAAATCATGATGAAAAGTCCTCCTTATTTCAAGACATTAAATAAGGTAGTATTCAACAAATCTGAGCATGGCTTCATGTCTTACATATGTCTGTGTTAAGTGTAGCACATTAATGCCATACATTCCAGATATTTCTCCTATGTGCATGTTGCACACTGGCTTTGTTCATGTGGTTAAGTATAATTAACTAATTTCATATAGTTAGTAAGTTATTAATAGTGCCCCATTTAACTTATGCTTCTGAATATATATTAAATGAGTATTCTAAATTCTAAAAGAGCTTGAGCCAACTTTTTTTCACAAGCATGTCTTTGATTAAAGTGGCCACCAAGGGGCAGCATTACTCTACTGCATTAAGTTCAACACTGCTATTTCAAAATAAGGGCTTTCAAGAGCTTTGGAAGATGCTTTTAGTCATTGGTAAGACGAAGATTTTAAAACTCTGCTCACTGGCCCAATTGCAGATCTGTTTAACTAAACACACGCTCTAAACCATGAAATTTTCCCTTGCAGCACTTGCCAAGTAGTTAGACTTTAGTGCTTTCTTTTTATGTAGAGATTGCACAATCTAAACGAATGATAAATACTAAATGGGAATCCAGCTACTTGAGGCTAGAAGTAAGCATCACAGCCACAAAGAAACAATCTCTTAAATAAATTGTGAGTGCTTCCGGGATCCGTCAGTAGCAACTCATCATCACCTTTTTAATAGAGACTTAAATCTAGGGCAAATGGTGTTTTAAGGAAAAAGTGAAAGTCACTAAAAATATATTCAACAGAATAAAGAATGCAGCTGTTGCCAATTTAGATTCCATTTCTAATGCCTTTGAGCCAAATCCTTGGAAGAAGCATCTTCCTCTGATTCCCAAACCCATCTCACCTGTTTCTATTCCAAGTCTGAGCAAGCCCATGAACATTTCGGTTACCTCAATTAGAATGGTTTGAAAAATATTTATTCTGAAGGGATTTTCCAACTTCCTAAGGTGGCCCCCAGCTCTGTGGTTTTCTGGCAGATTCCCATCCAAGTAGTAATCATGTCTGATCCTGCTTAGCTTGCTGAGATTGACCAAAATCACCAAAGTACTGCCATTTTTTTTAAAAAAAACAAAATGGGTTCTAGATTTAGCTGGAGTATAGGCTATCAATTTACCTAGCAAAAACTTCAGCTCTAGATTAGGAGGAACAACAACAAACTGAAAAGATTTGCAAAAGGATCTGCTAGGCTCTCCCGTCTGGGCATTATGCTAGTCAGCTTTCCACAGCCAACTGGTTGGTAAGGGATAGTTTTGGAAATCCAGAATCTATAAGGTTATTAGCATATGAAAGGGATCCTCCCTAAATAGTTTGCTATGGTCCACAAATAAAAACTTTTTAAAATTGATAGGAGGATAAGAGGGAGTCAAGCTATTCTCCAAAGCACCTGAAGGCAGGACAAGAAGCAACAGATGGAAACTAATCAAAGAGAGAAGCAACCTAGAACTAAGGAGAAATTTTCTGACAGAACAAGTGGAACAACCTGCCTCCAGAAGCTGTCAATGCTCCAACACTGGAAGTTTTTAAGAAGAGACTGGACAGCCATTTGTCTGAAACGGTATAGGGTTTCCTGCCTGAGCAGAAGGTTGGACTAGATGACCTCCAAGGTCCCTTCCAACTTTATTAAGTTGGTTTATTTAGGGATATATATTACAAGATGATATCTTAATGGTACATGTTGGATTTCCCATGAATAGCAATGTGTTTATAGATACTTCTATACTAAATAAATCCCATACCTTAATGATTTCTTTACAATTTCGTTTTCAAGAATATAGATTCCAAGGGTAATGTTATTACACAGCCCTGCATTTTTGTGTGAAGCATTCTCAGATAAAGAATGTAGAAAGAGTTAGTGATAAACAATGGGTAACAATTTGGAAGACTAAGAAATGTATTTTGTCTTTCTAAGTGCTAAATAGTATTAGTCAAGTATTTGGTTTGCATTTATAAGCTGAGCATTGTTAGCCTGTCTTTATGGAGACCTGTGTTGTGCCTTAGTGACCTATCTCAATTTATTTCTTGGTCAAATTACTTTTTTCTTAACACCTATTGCCTTCTGTGAAGTAGAGTAAGAAAATTGTGAATTCATGGTGGTACTTGCTACTTTTGAACTTGAACACCATCTCTGACTAATGCTTTTGGGGAACCTATTTTTCTTACCTATTTGCCACATGAAAAATTAATATGTTGAGACTAGGTGCACTTTGATCAATGGATAGGCTCTTTCACTGGCACAATACTTTGATGAATGTGCCCAATATATTTTTTTAAAAAGACAAATCTCCAAATATGCCCATTAAATGTCCAGAAAAACTGTGAATTCTCTGTGATATGGCTGAAAAATAGCATAAGTAAACCCAAGAATTTACTAAAGTGGCATATATAGATAGCCTGGTAAGTTTTACTACATGTAAATTGACCTGTTTCTATTAGCATTCCAGATATGTTTCCTAGCTGAGAATAAACATCTTCCTCACCATTAGTCATTCTGCCCCTTTAAAAAACAAATGTCTGCAGTGGGACTCTTCTGCCAATGCAGGCTCCTCAACTTATTTCAATAAGTTGAATCAGCAATAAAACAAGATTACATGCTATTTTTCTCTGAATAGTCTCTAGTGCTGTTTGTAAGAACAAGAGATTTTTATGTAGCAGTTGATTAACGACCATTAAGAGCTAATCTGGTGTAGTGGTTAAGGCACCAGACTAAAAAGCAGGAGACCCTGGCTCTTTTGGTTGAAGGCTGAGTTCTAATCCTGCCTTCAACCAGGTGGGTGGCCTTGGGCTAGTCATTCTTTCTCAGCTCTAGGAAGAACACGAAGAAAAACCACCTCTAAAATCTTGCCACGAAATTGGCAGAGATTTGTTCATGTAGTTTATGTAGTCAAGACTGACGCAAAAACACACACACACAAGAAACCCCCACCTATATTAAAAATTAATAGAGCAATCAGCTTCTTTTTAGAAAATGACTGCATTTTAAAAAGCCACAGCACACTGTTTTTAAAAAACAGTTTCACTGAAAGCAGGCAAAGCTCCTGCATTATATGTCATGCTTTTAGGTTCTGGGAGTTGAACTTCATTCTTAACTGTTTAATGTACAAAGGACTTTTTTTTAAAAATGGAACTTTGTGATATCGACAGCAGGAGAATTTGTTATGCGCAAAAATGGTAAGCTATATTAATTCCCACAATGGAATAATGGTTGGAGAAGCTGATGGAACTAGTGGAGATGGCCAAATTAACTGCTTTAATCAAAGGGGAAAATATATCTTTGATTCTGGAAGCTACTTCTGGATTTTGTGCTTGAGACAGAAAAAAAATGAAACTTTGACTTTGGAATTTGTGTTGTTTTGTTTTTTGTTATAGAAATGTTAGTATAAAAAGTTCAGACTAACATGTTCATTCTAGGGCGCTGAAGAATTGTATTTGTTTTCTTTTTTCTTTATCCTACACTTCTCTCCCTTTTCCCCTTTCACCAAATTTTTTATTTTCTTTGGTATTTTATAAAGTTTAATAAAATTATATTATTAAAACAATCTTAACTGGGGATCAGGCTACATCATAAATGGCAAGAATCAGTAGACTTTCAGAAGACTCTGGAAAGGGGGAAAGTGATCTCAACCTTTCTGAATGCTGAATGCTATACTTACCCCAAAGTTATGTCTTCAGATACAACTATTTATTTCCATATTCCAGGTCTTCTACTTTTGGTAAAGGTAACAGTCATGTTGCATACTAATGTAAATCTATCAGTCTTTCTGGGTATCTGGTATAAGGTAGTGTCATGTTTGGCCATGTGGCCTGGTATTGCCAAATTTTGCCAGGCAGCACTTATCTGTAATCAGATGGGAAACTTGCTGTCATGGAAAAAATGCCAGACTGCAATTCCCAGTCAGCCTGATCTCAATTCACCTACCTCTATTTTAGAGTCTGTCATAGAGATTAATTTCACTACTAAATTTTTAACCAGGGATGGTTCCAATGGGGAACATAATGCATGCTAAAATGGCTATTTTACTGGTGGACCCTGCTCCCTTGCTGACTTACCTGCCCAGCCTTTTTTTTTCCTGTATCACAATTTCCCAGAAGGGAGCCAAGGTCTTTAGCACACAGAATTAAGGCAATAAGAAAGGTTGACAAAGTGAGAAACTACTTGTTAGGCAGGGTTACATTACCATCTTGGTTATATGCAAACAAGAGAAAATATATGAATAAGCCTCAAAGCTGTTTCATGTGAAAACATCAAATAAAGATAACAAAGCTTTGTTTCTTAACAGCCAATACAGTATATCTGAAAGGACTTCCTGTATCTCTTTTGCTTGCTTTTTTAAAAAATTTAATTTAATTTAATTTTTATGCTTTGATTATTTTTTTATATGTATGCCCTACCTGTGGTTTATTTCATGAAAGAAATGTCTATATTTTTTGATCATCTGTAAAGTTTAAATTCTGTTAAATACATAAATGATTTCACATTAGGGCTCTGCCCATGCATCTCTCTTACATTCAGTTTTTCAGCCAAACTACCTATAATTTGGATGTTGAATCAGAACAATGAGCTGAAAGGTGTTTTTGAACTTGGATCTAAGCTCTACATTGAATTGCAGTTGTTGGAAGTTCCTTCCTGGTGTTTTATTTTCTTAAAAATGAGTGTTTTTTGATAGACCATACTCCTTATGGCAGCCTTGTTGTGAGCTTGACTGTGACATCTCAAAATTCAGGTTTTTTTTATTGTACCAAAAAAATAGTGTGATGCTTGGTTTATATCTACTTCCACCAGATATTTGGAATAACTAATTATTGTTTTCAAGCAGAAGAGTTTTTCCTAACATTGTATCTTCCAAACATGTTGAGCTCCAGATCAGTATACATAGAAAAATGTTCTTGTTTTCCTAATTAACTGTACTTTTTGTGACAAGAAAGTTGCAAACACAATAGAACCTGGGCAGCATTTGTTAAATGTTTATTTTGGAGTCTTAGAGTTGGCAGGAAAAGCATACATCCTACATTCTCCACACAGATTTTATTCTACTGTTTATTTTTGTTTGTTTGTTCATTTGTTTTTGCATAATGCAATTATTTTTACCATTCAAAGATCTAAATAAGCTACAGTAGCATTATGCCAAGACACCAATAGCACTCCTTTATCTGCAGCTATATGTAGAAATTTGCCTTCTTCTTGGATTATGAATGACTTCCATTGAAAGGGAAACACTGCATTATCTATATGAAAATTATATTAGGAAACTGGATTTAAAAAAAAACAGCCCTACCAATTCTAGATACTAAAGGCCATTGCTCCATCAATATCAAGAGACCTGGAGGAAGAAGACAACTAGCCACAAAACTTAAAAATATTTTCTCTCTATCCTGTTTATTAAAGAATGGGTTGGATTCCAAAGGTGTATGGAAATATTTCCAGAAATGGAAGCTAACAGTCTGAAGGCAGCATCACTATACCAGTTCCAAAAAATTCATCTAACTTGATCCTGATATTTGCAGTAGTCAATCATTAAGGCAGTCGTGAATATTCCATGTTCTGTATGGAATTTTTGCAGGGTTTTGAAGGGTTTCCTACAATAAAGGCTATTCCCACCAGCCAAAGGGGTTCTGTCTGCTATCACCGCACTAATGCAAAAGCAACATTTATTTCATTGTTGTTATTAATAAAAGCTATTTCAGTCTTAAACCAGCAACCCCTAATTTATAGAAGGTAATCTCTCCAGTAGCTCAAATTCATTATTGCTTGCTGACCAGCTCAGCACTGGTGTTGTTTTTGGCAAGCAGTCAGTTGCCTTCCCTAAAAATGCTTTTAATAGTTTTCTGAAAATAATTTGAATAATCCCTGAGATGTACTGCATTCAAAACCTCAAAACAATATGTTAGCCACAGTAGTTTTGTTTTAGGCTACTGTTTTTATTTTATTTCATTCACCCAGATTAGAATGTGTTAACTCTGAGCAGCTCTAATGCTAGAGAGTGGAAGAAGTGTTACTGTTCCTATTTTTATAATTTAAATATACACCAGATTATAATGAGAATGTCCTACAAAGGGATGCACCACTGCGACAACCTTGAAGATTTTATAACTGGCTTCCTTGTGTTTATCACAAGACGTTGCAGGAGAGAAGAAAAACTGCCTGTCCCTAACACATAGGGTTCATCTCCCTAATCTGTGCAAGGCAAAATAAAACTGGCATTACAGTATTCACCCTCTGGATGGGACAAAAAGTGAATGCAACAGAGAGTACGAAAACCTAGCTGGAAAAGCAAACTCTGAGAAACCATTGCTCTGAGACAACACTGGAAAGAAACAACTTTGTACCTTTGTAGTCCACAGAAAGGACCTTCATAATATTAGAGCCCTAAGAACAGAATCAGCTTCAGGATGTGCCCTGTGGATCTAGTTCTTGATCTAAGCAGCATGAAAAGTACTGTAACATCAGGTTGCTTTGCTGTGCAGGAGTGTTCTTTTCCTCTGTTTCAACAGACAGATGTGCAGTTCAGTTCTGCGGGTTCCTCCATGTCTGGGGTGGCCAGTCCTTCCGGTCCGTCTGCTATGCTGGGCTCACTAGAAAACTGTCTGTGGTTCAAACTGGGCTGCAAAAGGAGACACTGGTCGCCATTGTCTGGTTCTTCTGCTAGCATGCCTGAGTGCATAATGGAAGCCATGGCCAACAGCTGGATATCAGAATGAGCATTGGCGACTGTATGCCGACGGATGCTCCCACACTTCTCAAGGTAAGCCTCACCTTCCTGTTCAGTCAGGGGTGTCAAGGCGGTCTCACTGACCTGCCGGGTTGCCACTGTGTGAGAAGAGATGCTTAGCCCGTTGGGTTTGTAACGAGATCTGTAATACCGTCTCTCTGGAAAATAAGGAGAAAGAGACATTTTGTTAACTGTTTGCCACTGCAAGAATTGGTTTCCCCAGATTTTGTTTCTGTGAAAGGCACATTAAATATTTCTTCATCTTCAGTTTTGCCAATAAGCTCCACATGTGGATGATAAGGATATTTGGGAATAAATAAAATATAAGTTATACAATTGATTATACTTAATCTCTTGCACCAGTATGATCCTGTTAGAAGTCCACGTTATGACAGAGAGGAACTTATGATATTGGAGAACTTTGACATTATTGTAATATAATCTCTCTTCTCAAATTGTCTTACACTTAAAATGGTAAATGTATAGTAGTAAACTAAATTTTCACCCCTATGTCCACTGCATTTAGAGTAATAAATACTGTATGAGCTTATAACCTATGCTGTACATGCAGGGCTTTTCAACCTTTTCACCCATTGTACTACTTTTAGGATACGGCAATATCCGAGTACCACCAGTCGCCTAGCAAGGTGTCAAAAACTTGATGACCCCCCCCCCAAAAAAGGAAAAAAATGATGAAGTACAAATAGTTCACTTAGTGACTGTTCAAAGTTACAATGGCACTGAAAAAAGTGCCACCCCAAGCCACAGCCGAGCAAGACACCTGCCTGCCCACCTGGCGGTGCTCTTCCTCCTGTCCAAGGTTTCCATTGTTGTGAGCATTTCTGTTGACGATTGGCAGAGGGAGTGGGGTGGGGGGTGTGTGGTTTTTATTCCCCCCATCTGATGGGTGGTTGCAGCAGGTTTTGGTCACTTCACATGACACTGGGACGTTGTGACCATCATAAATATGAATCAGTTACCACGCATCTGAATGTAAATCACAAGACCCTGGAGATAAGGCAACATTCCAGCTGACTGGTGCTTCTTCAGGGCTCAGCAGAAGTGCCAGGATCAGCGCCGAGCTCCAACTGGAGCCTGGCGCTGATCCTGGCACTTCCACTGAGCTCTGACAGTCCCAAAGAAGCACCGATCAGTTGGAAAGCGCCAGTGATCCTGGCGCTTCCGCTGAGCCCTGACACCCTGCAGCTCCAGCCATCTCTTGCTCAGGCTTGTGCGGTGCTGCCACCAGTTCAGCTCATTCCCATCCCCCGCTACCACTTTTCTAGGATGGTTGCGTACCACCTGCCAGGTGCCAATGTACCATAGGTGATACCCGTACCACTGGTTGAAAAGCCCTGCTGTACATGCATTGTTTGTGACTGACTATTTTTCTGGATATTGCCCAGAATCTGACATAGTATCTTTTATTCCCTGATTTAACTTTTCACTATATACAGTTCAGAATGACTGTTTTATGTGCAAAGTTAATAGCATTATCTGAACATAACCACTGGTGACAAAGAAAAACAAACTTATCTATGGGAAATTTACTGCCTATTCTACATGCACTTGAAACATTTTATTAAAACAATAAAGTGTGTTTTGTCAGAACAAAGTAAAAGTGTTAGAAAATACAGATCTTCATTTTCAAGTTCCTAACATCTAGAATGGATCGTTTTGAGACAAGAACAGTCTGTTTTAAGGTTTTCTTTTATGACAGAACACTTGAAATTTTGATTCTTAAAACCCTGGGCACATACATTTTCTCCAAACAGTAATTTTGCGTACCTCTACTATGAACCCGATTATTTTTCAACTTGATATCCTATAGTGCCCATGGTGATTATGCTTTCTGAGGTCTGCAGTCCTATGTTCTGGTGGATATTACTTTAGAGAAAGCTTTTGTAATCATTGATCTAGTGAGCTGCCCAGTTTGAATTCATTGCCATTTCTAACAAAAGGGTTGTTACAAGGTAGATGGAGAGAACCAGTGAGGTTTTAGATATGGCTGCATTCCAGTTCCCTGCATCTCCAGCTAGCATGGGCGGTGCTAAGAAATAATGGTAACTTTAATTCAACTACAGCTAGACAACCACAGGTTCTTTATTCCTGATCTACATAATGGAGATCATGGATGAAAATAGTAGATGCTGCTGTTCCATTGGCCAACAGTATTCCCTATACGGCAGCAATTCATCTGGACAGGAATTCACCTGGATCTAACTAGCAACTTTTAGTATATTCAGTTACAAGAATGACAGGGATGGAATTACAGATCACATATTTTAAACTTACAGTGCAAGCACAGACAAACTCAGTTTTACTTAGGGGGAGGAGCTGTCAAATCCTAAGTGCCCCAAGGAAAAACATGCACATTCCAAACGCTTAAAGAATTATGAACTCAGGAATTTGTTTTGAGACCCTAAACGCGCTTTTTTTTTTTTCTATGTCTGCTCACCTCAAGCTTTTTGCATTTACAGTAAGTTATGCTTTTAAACAAGGAGTCATTTTATAGTTACTATTGTTACTGTTGGGAACTGAAAATCCTTGTGTATCATTCAGAAATCTGCTGATAGTTCCTTCTCTAGTTTCCATCTACTCCTGAACGGCAAAGCTGTACCACTTCCTTTTTCATCCACTTCCTTACATCAAACTGTATGCTGCATTAGAAACAGGAACCTTTTTGCTTCTGGGAAAGGTATGGCAAGCTGGAGACAGTTCTGCAAAGTGGAGCCGATAATCTCAGCAAAAACCAACAGTTTTCTGCAGGATTGAGTGCTGGGAGACAAAGAGATCGGCTATCTTGCTCAAAAGTGAAGCCCTTTAAAGGACACTTAAGTTTGCAAACCCCACTTTCTAATCATTTTTGGAAATTGCCAAACCATCGTAAACCATTAGAGACCTTCAAGACAAGTTTTAAAAAATTTTGCCAGGTGAATTTATCTTCAGTTCGGAAGAAAAGAAAAATTAATCATGAGCATAAGAACTTAAAATAACTTGAAACAAATAGCAAAATGCTAAATAAAATTTTTACCTAAGAAAGTTATCAATGCATCAAAAATCCAGGTGAATATTGATTTTCACTATAAGATTTTGAATTATTTTTTTTTGAAAAAGAAACAGTTTCTCATTTTGGCTATCCTGGTTATTGCAAATCGGGATAAAGATAAGTGATGATTTTAGAAACTGGAGGGAACGAAATATTCTAAGCCAGACATGTCAAACTCGCAACGTCACGCAACATCGCGAGACATATTGGGACAGTTTTGCCATTGCCTGCAATGGGGTGGATGCGGCTTCCGGATGATGCATCCGGACCGCAGGCTGGCAGTTTGACACCCCTGTTCTAAGCAGAAGAAAAAAATACAAGTTTGTTTTTGATGTCAATAAATACTGGGACTTCCAAACCAATCAAATGTTATGACATTATAAATATTAAATGAGTTATTTGAAAAATGGAGCCAGAAATTAGTAATTACAGTATTAATATCTGTTGGCAATGATGTCTTCTTCTATGGACAGACTATGTCCAAAATATATTAATGAAGCAATGACAGATATGGAACAAATTTTATCTGACAAGACAGAGAAGATACTGAAAATGGAACTACAAATAACAGATCAACAGAATGATTTTGAAAAGAACACTTTACTGATATAAAAAAAATCCTTGATTGTTGGGTGCTGCCCAGAGTAGCTTTTGATGAGATTTGGTGAAATTTGATGAGAGAGAGGAGAGGAGAGGAGAGGAGAGGAGAGGAGAGATTTTGTAAATTTTACCTTTGAATAAATTTGTATAATAGGATAAAGAAGAATTGAAGAGAAATTAAATCCTAAAACAATATTTGATTGAAATAAAGATTAAGACCGTTAGGAATAAAAGAAAGAAATATAAACTTGGCTTATTTGATCAAAGTTAAAATAAGATTTTTTTTCTGTTGGTTTGCAAAGTTCTGGCAAACCATTTATGGACTTTTTGCTGACACAGGACTGAAGGGTTGATGTTTTATGGATTTATTTATAGATGAGGGATGACATAAAAGATGAGGAGATTACAGGAGCTGAAGAGTTATTAAATTTGTTTATACTTGTAATGAAATTTGGAAGTCATTTCCTTGCATTACTGCATGTTTTATTATTTACATTTTATCTTTGTTTAAGTTTTATTTACATTAATTTTTATTGTTGTATTTAAAATTCTTAATAAAAGTTATATTAAAAAAAGAAAAAGAAACAGGAATCTTCCTAAAATACAGCTGCTTTAATAAGTCATGGACAGGCACTACATTCATGGTCCCATATGTACTAAAGCACCTCTTCTAAGATCATAGAGATAGGGTACAGGTAGTCCTCGACTTACAACAGTTTATTTAATGACTGTTGAAAATTACAATGGCATGGGGGGAAAAGTGACTTATAACCATTTTTCAAACTTACGCCCATTGCAGCTGCCTCTTGGTCATGTGATCAAAATTCAGATGCATAGAAACTGATTCATATTTATGATGGTCGTCTCCTGGGATCATTTGATCAACTTTTGTGAACTTCTGATAAGCAAGGTCAATGGGGAAGGCAGATTCACTTTACAATCATGCTACCACCTTAACAACTGCAGTGATTCACTTAACAACTGTGGCAAGAAAGACCAGAACATGGGGCAAAACTCTCATAACAACCGTCACAATTAGCAATATAAATTTTTGGCTCAATTGTGGTGGTAAGTCAAAGAGTACCTGTAATATAGTGGTGAAGATGCTGGACTGGCATTGGGGAGATTCAGATCCCAGTATAGGCTCAGCATTCGAATTTCACTAGATGAATTTGGATCAGTCACTCACTATCAACCTAACCTGTCTTACAGGGCTGTAGAGGGAAGGAGAATAGAGAAATGCTGTGTATGCTAGTATCCTCATACTACTTCATACTATTCTGATAACATTTCCAATTCCCCCATACAATTTTTTTTTTAGGAAGTTGAGACACCACAGAGAAAAGTATGGCATCAATAAAACTCAACTTGCTTTTTTTCTTCTTCCAGCAGACATCTCCCCTGATAGTTCTGCTCATAGAAACACTACATCCAAAAGAGATGCTGCAACATTTATTACTGCAGCATGGGAAGAGTTCAGAAGTGGCTTACCACATTTTACAGCACAGC